TAGTCAGTTAGTCAGTTAGTCAGTTAGTCAGTTAGTCAGTTAGTCAGTCAGTCAGTCAGTTAGTCAATTGCTCGAGGATGATCTAAAATTACACTGTGTTAAGACGAATATGCATCTAGCTTTAGTGTAATATTGTTGCTAGAAGAATTCAGTCTACAAATCTGCCAATTGTAATACTCTATTTTTTACGATTTTTCTTCTTCTTCTAAGCAATTGTTGCATTTGTTTACTCTTTGAATGAAAGAAATTCTTTTCCACTGAAATTTCTCACTGAACACAAATGAAAGTAAATGCAATGGCAGTTATGAGAGCGAAAGCAAACTGAATTACTTACAATCTTCACATCTATGCAAGTGCACATCTAGCTTCCATCTGTTTTTGCTTTCGCTTTCTTTCACTTCTAACAAATATTCTATTTATTGTGCTGGCAGATTGTAAGTACAATTACTATTGATATTGATTATAAGTCAAGTCAAATTCGAACTGTAATGGAAGATTGTAAGTACAATTGAGTAAAAGTCAAATTCGAACTGTAATGGAAGATTGTAAGTACAATTACAATTGAATATAAGTCAAATTCGAACTGTAATGGAAGATTGTAAGTACAATTGAGTAAAAGTCAAATTCAAATACTTAAATTTCTCTTTCATTGTTTTTTGTATTTTTTATTGAGAAAACTTTAGTATTATTTTACAAACAACATTTCAACTAAATTTGCAATACAAGTATTCAAGTTATTTTTGTACTGCTTTGTTAGTTAGTTTAATTATAAAAGTTTTTACTCTGTTCTTATCACTCATTACTTTTCTAATTAACTTAAACTTGTTAATAAGCAAAATACTATTTACTGTTAAAACTATAAATCAAATTATGTTATTTTTCAGATAAAACATATAATGAATACATGAATGGATTTAGCACTTCATAATTTAACAAATTAGAACGATTAAAATAGTTAATACAATTAATTTTGTTTTTCTGAGAATGAATTACAGATTTTACAATTTTCAAATAATATTATATATTATATGCATGAAATCAAAATAATAAATGACATTTAGAGAGTTATGCAACAAATTTAAGCAGAAAACATAACAAAAATCCAATTACAAACTAAGTCAGAGTTGTGGAATTCGTTCATTTCCAGGTCTCCAGCAGTTTGATTCTATCTCGCAATTCAAAATTCATACTTCTGTGATATGAAGAAATGAATCAACTTTCATAAGTTTTTGTATCTGTGTTACAAATGAGTTCTCTCTTCGAAACTTATGTAAATGAAAATTGCAGCTGACTGATTCAGAATTCGTTTCTCGCCTACATACAGACTGACAACTGAATAGCCTGAAATCTCAGAGCATTCTTATCCTTGTTTTAATTTTCAGAAAAAAATCAGTTGGTTGTAGTTATTTTCAATTTATTTTTTCAAGTAAAAATTTTTTCAAGATGACACTTTGAGCGAATGCCAAAGTTCACTTTCCATAAGCAGTACAATTAATTCCTGTGATGAAAAGATGACAAAATTTGAAGATATGCATCTAACCTGGTCGAATACTATTTACAGGAACGCTAAATTCTCCGATAAAATCGTCTAGCGAAGCGTTGTCGTGATCTTTCACACATAATCTTAGAATTGCTACTTCAGGTTGCTTAAGCTCAAATTTGAATGATTCATTCCAAACTGGGCAAAACCTAGTCAAAAAGTTTACTTGAACAAATTGAACTGAATGAATTACTTAAATTATTGATATATTCCAGAACAAAGCATTAGACATCAAACTTTGATCAGAATATTTTTCAGCACTGGAAGTTGCATAGATCACATTTATCATGAATACTAGAGTTAATCAGTGTCAAAGGTCATTTTTTAAACAAAATTTTGCGCCTTTGAACGATTTATCAAGAAAAGTTTAATGAAAAGAAATGATATGAAGCTACCCCTAACTTTCATCAAGCAGTAAGCATAGCAATGAATCTGAAGGCATATCAGAAATGTTGATGCAGTACTATTCTAGTAAATTTGCATCACAATGCCATTTAATTGTACTGAAATTTATATTTTCCACAACAAAATGTGATTACCCGTTGTTGTCAATTACTTTTGTTTGCATTTTTCTGCAGTCTTCGGGAATTCCATAAATTTCAACGATGACATACGGATCAATGATCTCACCACATTTTGAAAATGGCTTCGGTAGATATTCACCACTAATTATCTACAAATTATTTACTAAATTTTATTTTTTAATAAGTCTTTTATTCATTTATGAAATTTAATAATTTTGTCTAAATTTACAAAGTACTTTTTGACAAAAATTCTAACTTTTATACTTGAAAAAATGCAACACAAAAATGAAATTAAATAATAATAATGCAAAAATAGTTGTTCCAAAAATATAATTTTTAGTACTTAATTTACTTAATGGCTTTAATAGCTTGCAGGAATTTATTTAAGCTAATACAGTAGGCAAAAATATCAAACGTACTGTAAGATTCATGATCATTCGATAGAAGCACTCATTTTTCTCTACGTCTGAAAAATATCTTAGATTAAATCAAAATGTACAAATTCAATAACCTGAAGTTAATATATTTGTTACATCGTAACAACTGCTATGTTTATTTGACTAGTCAACCAAATACATTACTTTTTTGGTTTCTAATTTAGAAGGATGCTTGTTATTTTATTAATTTCATTAATCAAGTGAAAAGCTAAGCTAAATTGAATTTCAAAAATTAACCTTTGAACTTTTGTTGTTGTATTTTATTAAAATTCGTTCCAAAGATTCTTTTCTTAAAACTAATTTTTAAAATATCAACATTCGAAATTAACAATGAAAAAAAAATTTTACAAAAGAACCACTACCTAGTCCGACAAGAAGTATGTCAGGTTTCAGCACGTAGCCACAATTGCCATTTATTCTAAATAAGCCTGAATTAAGATCTAGATTCTCGTCATGAGTTTGCATGTTTAGTGCAACGGATTGTATGCCAAGCATCCATGACTGCATTGGATTAAAGTTACTCGAATCTTGTCTTAATGCTTTTGGGTATGATTTTACGAGATGCTTACTAGTATAAGACGTAAAACGCGCACTACTAGCTGCTATCTTACGGACTTTTGTCTCTGAGATTGATGGAGATAAGTTTACTGCATCTGCAAATTGAAATCGATCAAAAAACAGATCAAACGATATTTGATTTAAAGTTTATCCTAAAATAGTAATAAGAAAATAAACTGATTTCTAGTGATCTTTTTGCTGCAATAATAAGTCTGCTATGACTGTTTGATTATAAAACTCCTTCATATACTGTGAATACTATTTAATGACTAAATCAGAATCATATGACTCATAAAGTGCCTCTGATTACTAATTCTGAAATAAACACTTAAATGCTTGAATGCAATTTGGTATTTAGAGAAGATTCTAATGTAAATAAAATGAGTACTCTCACTGAAAAAAAGCAAAAACAGATTTAGCTTAGAAAACTGTCAAAGGTGCTATAAGGTAAATCTTTTATATAAAATGAATGATTGGTTTAACTTTCGATTCTACTTTTTATTAGACAAAAATCTGAATAATTCTAAGATGAAGTTTAGTTCAGCATCACTAATAATGTCAAAGGTCAGGAAAATTAAAATAATTTTGCAACTTTTTTAAAACTCAATCTAATACTTTTTGCAAATATCACTTTTTCTTATCATAAAAATCAAAAGCAAAATTTGCTTAAACAAAATTATACGTTTTGTTATGTCATTCATCCAATTTTGGGATAGCTTGACTTGAGATAGCGAGATTAATTTTGATATTTCAGGATCAACTGTAAAGGTCGAGATTGAGCTTGTCTCAGTATTAATATTTTCGTCTTGCGCAGAAATATATTCCAAACCCGTTTTACCGCGTAAAATGTACTTGAATTTAAGCTCATGAGGTGATGGTAATGCTGTTAATGGCTCGTTTTCAGACGTTATAAAAATGTCATTTCCAAGAATCTGAAAATAAAATTATCACTTATCTGTCAAAATATCGAATAAATTAGATTGAAATGTGATCATAATTTTTGATACATTTCAGTTTAGTCATTTTTTCTTTCCTTTTAATGTTGTTCTGTTTGTAAGCAAGCAAATTTTTTCAGACTGAAATGCGTAAATAATTGATAAATTTGTACAGCTAATAGAGCTAATTAAAGAAGTAAACAAATTTACAAATTGTACAAAAATAAAAAAAAGATTAGCTTCTGAAAGTTACCAATTTTGAGGAATAATTTTGTACTCTATTTATTGTTTATATCATTTTAGTTTTATTCTGTAGAAAAAAAAATTATTGTTGAATGCACTTGGATGAATTTCCTAGCCATAACTTGTTGTTGTTGTAAGCTGCAGTGATTCTCAATAGTAAGAATCAACGGATATTCGCTATATTTAAATGCATAACTTTTGATTGCCATTAAAACATCCTTTAAACATATCGATGAAACTAATGTATGTCGATGAGTGATGCACGGTTCTCCGTAAGGTCCATCAAGTACATCTACTTAAATGATATATACTTTATAACTTAGTATTATAAGCAAATCAGTAACTGACCAGTTATTTACTGTTTTTTATTTATTTCATTAATTTCAAATAAAAATTGAAAAAGTCAAAGGAATACACTGCAATGGTATTAATTTAGTAAACTGCAAAGATATAGAAATTAGTAAAAATTTAGCCTTCACAATATACTGATTAAGTAATGGTTTTAAGGGATTTAGCAATTGATAGCTAAAATTTTTGTGAGTACAAACTAATAGTTCTGCATTTGTAGGGCTTCTCTACGATACATTTTTAATTTTATCTTCCTGGACGATTCTGTAGCCTTTTGCTTTTTGCATTTTGCTATTATTATGATTATTATCTTTGAAGCATCATTAATTAAGATTAAACTTGCACTCAAGTAATCGAGCCCCTTTTTTTATAGCATTAATGTAGCCTTCAACAGTTGCTTCACCCTTAATTTGAGTGCCCATTAAGTAAGTATTATGGCTAGAATTGATGTAATAATCAGATAATGGCCGTTTCATATTTTGAAAAACAGTCTCATGTCCACTTCGTAAGATGTTACCCCATCTTGAACGTAACAAACTTCGGAAACCTACAATTGTTTTCCGCTACTCTTAGATCAAATTTTGATCAAATGACAACACTTAGTAAGTAAGTAATCGATCTATTTTCCATTCTAAAATTATTTTAAAAAGTTTGATTTGAATTACCTTAGAACCATATTTTAAAGTAAACTATGAAAAATTAAAACATTTAAAGTATTACCTATCGGTCCAAGTAAATTTTCACGTCTAGCCATACGATAATTGCCTTGTTTAGTGATAATTTCTCTGATAATTGAATCTGCTATACTGATAGTCACTTGTTCGAACTAAATTTGCCTTCTTATGGGAATTTGTTATTCTAACACTTTTCATACTTTTAATTAAAACTAAGTTTAAATTCAAATGCAAAAAAAATTGAAACTTTCAAAACTATTCTATCTATTTTATCTATTCGATTAGTAAGTAATATTAACGAGATCACAATTTAACGCTCAATTTGTTGCCAATTAACTTTAGTTCAAGTTATCAAATTTAATTAATAACTGCAAACCTGTTGTACTTTGATAAGAAAGTTTTTTAAGTCGACCGCTGAAAAAGTTTTATCGTTTCTGCTACTATACAAACTCATAACTCTGCCAGTTTCGAAATGAAATGTTAACTTCAAGAAAAACTTCAGAAATTCATTTTCATCAAGAAAGCCATCACTTCTTCTTACAGAATCATCGCCGCCTTTATCTGTGCACTGTAAATTACAACAAATAAAGTGTTGTAATACTTCTAATTATTTTTGCTTTAAAAACATTCATATTATAAGTGCTATCTATTGCACAACACTGCATATTAATTAATTAGTTAGTTGAATTGAATAATTATTCAATTAATGAATATAATTACTGCAATTTTACTAATGCTTTAAAAAATTTATTACTTGAAATTTGAAAAAATTGTGTTGCAAATTTGTAATAAAATTTATAAGATTACTTGAAATAAAGCTTTGGCATAATTTTGATCAATATTCAAATTCATTTCTTTCAGAAGGCGCCAAACCTCTTGAAAGTCCAAATGACCTACAATATTTTATTTTGTGACTCAAAAGTGCTGCAAAAGTTTCATCTAATAGTTCTCTAGAATCATTAAAAAATTTAGCTATCCTTCGCAC